TGAGTCATAATCGACTTGCTGGTACACAGCAACAGCAACACATTGATTTTAAGAGAGCATAATGCTCAAGGCAGACATTCTTTACTAGTTAAGCTAAACTATTGTTTGCTTTTAAGACTTCAGGGGCTATTTTTAGTTTAAGGTTTATGATCTCAGGGCAGTAGTTTCAGGCTCTAGAAAGTCTGGATTACATGAGAATTTTAAATTCTGTTCTACATTTTTTCCTTTTGATCAGGATTCTTCTATAAAATCTTTGAACAAAATGTTCAGTAATGGTAGCCAGGCATAGGTGACCTATTTTAAGCCAGCCCTTTACTCATTGCATGAACACAGGAGCTGTTTGCTGTAATTCATCAGCCCTTTCTCTTTTGAGGCAGGCCTCTGCTGGAACAATGAGTTTCATAGCACACTGCTCTGATGGTGCCCAACCCAACTGATGCCTTAGGAATTTAAACACATTTATAATAAGTAAAAAAATAATTTTTTTAACTTTCAAAAACTGCTTGTATCTAAAGGTAGTTGTTGTTGTGTGCTGTCGAATTGATTCTGACTCAAAGCAACTGTATCGGACAGAGTAGAACTGCCCCATAGGGTTTCCTAGACTGTAATCTGGGAGCAGATCTCCAGGTTTTTTCTTCTGCTGAGTGGTTGGTGGGTTTGAACCACTAATCTTTTGGTTAGCAGCCGAGTGTTTAACCATTGTGCCACCAAAACCAAAAAACAAACCCATTGCTGTCGAGTCAATTCCAACTCATAATGACCCTGTAGGACAGAGTACAACTGGCCAGTAGGGTTTCCAAGACTGTAATCTTCATGGAAGCAGACTGCTATATCTTTCTCCCTTGGAGTGGCCAGTGGGTTCAAATCAATGACCTTTCACTTAGCATCCAAGTTGTTAACCACTATGCCACCAGGGCTCCTTATTGCGCCACCAGGTCTCCTTATTTGAAGAAGTTAAGATGGATAAAGATTTAAGCAAATACTTTTTCATTTATTTCACAGTCCCTTCAGAAATGAAACTGGCTAGAATAAGCTATTTTACAAATGTATTTTGCAGTACTCAGACTGCATACTCTGTGCCCAGCAGGGTAAAGAGTTTGCACATATTTTGTTTTCCACACAAAATGGGACAATTGTTTTTATAACAATATCCCATAGTTTCAGGACCTCTTGGGTTTCATGGTAGTGGAGCAAAAGAGTGAGGGGGAACTTTGAAAGTTTGTCTTTGTAAGCATGTTCAGAAATGAAGGTTAAGGTATAGGGAGAAAATACAGCTCCCATATTGGACACCGTTGGAAACATTTGTTGCAGTCTTTTGTTTTTCTTTCCTAGTCACTTCTGTCCTAAAAATGGTAAGGCCTGTGTTTGGAGTTTGAGTTTGGATTTTATTTCCTGGAGCCCCTATTATAGTGCCTTTGTTGGGGCAGGGAAGAACCATGAATGTTTATTAACGATGTTACGGGGTAGCATGGTACTGACATATAACAACACGGGCAACTTGCATTTAATACTTTTAAGTCATTTTCATATCTGTATCTCATTTTTGTCCTCAAAATAGCCTTTTGGGATAGGTGTTAGTAAGAAAGTACAGATATT